GTATCAGGTCAACTAAACATGGGCACAGTAACAATATTAATTATTCTACATTTATACATTTTAGGCAACTAAAGCAAAACGTAATTAATTTAGAAAATCTTTTCAGGACCCCACCTTGATGTTTCAGGACCCCACTTTGGGTCCCGACCCCAACTTTGGGAAACACTGCTTTATATTATGACCCAAAACTTCACACAATTTCATGTTTGCTAAGCTGGTAATGTTGTGCTCTGTAAGAAGAAAGTTACAAAATAATTGACAATTTTTTGACTCCAATAAACACATTAATCACAAACAAATCTAATTCTATTTAGAAAACTCTGAAAACCTTTACATTTCACAATAAAAGATTTATTAATACTTTTTAAATAGTTTATTCACGAGTTTATAAACAGTTTATAAAGCAGTAATAAACAGGCATACTCACTATTTGGCTAAATCAAGTAAAGTTATTTTATTGCTTCTTAATTTACTTTCCTTTAACTTTGAAAGTTTGCAGATAATTTCCTGACAAATGTTTGAAATTTAAAATTTTGTAGAAACTAATAAAACTTCTCTTGATCCTGTCAAATAGTGAGCATTAACAGTCTTTGTAAAATTTTGTTATTGCTGAAAGTCATAATTGTGTTGATAAATTCTTCTTTAAGGGCCATTTATTAGGAACTTTTGCTAAAATACAAAATGTCTGGATATTATTTGCGTTTTAAGTTTGGTTTGTGGAAAAATAAATATAGGAGGATGTTTTGTTACTTTGGCATCAGATAAAGAGGTCAACTTTAAACCTTTATCTTTATGTTGAAGACAGGTTATTAAAAAAACAGAAACGAATCTCAGAAACTTGGACATGAAACRGAAATGTTTGGATAAGAGTGGAAGAGGGCTCACAAACAAAAATAATAAGTGATTTGAAGAAGTTAAATGAGTTCAGGAAGGGACAAACAACACAACGAGACATCAGTTTGAATAAAAAAGGCCTAAATTAAAGTTCTTGATAACGGACATAGTGGACATTTAAAATCTGGACATTTACAAAAACTCAGAGACCAAAATATTTAATGTAGATGATATGGTACGTTTCTAAATAACATGTTCAGTTTGCGTCTCTATCCTTTGATATCAAGACCAACAAGAATCACAACACAAACTACAACAGTGACAATATTTTTACTAATGTCAGAAATGGAGAGGTGTTGAGTGGGCTTTTGACAACAGATATAAGTGATCATTTATCTGTCTTTACTTTTAATAAACAGTATCTGTGTAGCAAACCTGCAGTTAAAACAAATAAGATAATGATAAACGCATCAAAAAAGCTTCGGATAAATTGAGAGAGGACTTAAAAAAAAACAAAACTGGCAGGATGTGTATGTTGGTGATGTAAACAGAGCATGTGATGTGTTTAAGAACATTTTCGGAACTCTGTATGGAAAAAATTGTGTGCAAAAAATTGTGCAAGGAGAGATGTTGTTGACAAACCATGGATGACTAAAGGGTTGAAAAATGCTAGTAAAAAAAGGAATTGTTTGTATTCATGCTTCTTGAAATTAAGAACAAAAGAAGCAGAGGACAGATACAAGACACACAAAAATAAGTTGGTATGGATTATAAGAAAACATAAGAAGGAATATTAGTGMCTTATTAAATAAAAGTAATGATATGAAAGCAACATGGTGAGTARTGAACAGTGTTCTGAATAATCCATCTATTTGAAAGATAGGATGGTTTGTACAAATACATGGAGTAAGATCGGAACTTTGTAGCATAACGTGGAGTTCCTCAGGGCTCTGTACTTGGACCAAATTTGTTTATACTGTATGTGAATGATTTGGTAAATGTGTCAGAGTTTTTCAAATGTGTATTATTTGTAGATGATACWACATTTTTTTGKTTGGGTAAMGATATAGAACGGATGTTGGMGAGGACGCAAGCGGAATTTGTTAAAATACAAACTTGGTTTAAACTTMATAAGTTGTCATTAAATTTAGAGAAAAATAATTATATGGTATTTAGTAATAGAAAGAAAACTATTGATGTYCCRTTTAGAGTCRATGGGGTTGAGATTTGTAAAGTCAGTGAGGTGAAGTTTTTAGTGATTGATGAAGGGTTGACATGGAGACTTCACATAAATAATTTAAGAACAAAGATGGCTAAATCTAGTGAGTTATTTAATGATAAAGCAATGTATATGTTGTATAATGCAATAATAAGTCCACACTTGGTTTTACTGTATTGAGGTCTGGGGGAAAGTGTGTAGGAC